AAAAACAAAATAGAAAACCTAATTAGGAGCGATGTAGCAAACCCTCTGCAAGCAATATACACTGCGACGCATAATTATAGTTCCACCTACAATTTCAGTACCCGGCTGGATATCATTTTCTCACGATACGGCGCTTATCTCAGTCGGATAGTAATCAGGGTTCCTCCCAGTCATATCCTGTAGCATCCTTGAGAAATTTGTTCGTTATGAAGTCACCCCGACAAATTCCAGCGGAGCTGACACTTTGACAATTCCTGCGTCTCTTTTGCTAGGATTTCCCTTTTACGGAAGTGACAGCGGTTTTGCCTTTGCTATAAGCTAAGGAACTTGAATGGATAATAATTCCAAATTTTGATTGGGTAAAAGCAAAATGCAGCGGAGAAGCTAAAGCGGATATTTTCGAAAAAATAAGGATAAAAAATTGTTGCTTTCTCAAACTGGATTTCCGTGTTAATATTCAGATTCGCGTTTATATGTGTCACAATTTATCTGTAGAGCCTTTTCCAAAAACATCCCAGATTCAAGTTTTTGGGAAATTTGTAGGTGGAACTATAATTATGCGTCGCAGTGTATATTAGTCTTTAATGTCTGCCTCTGAATTCAACTGTTTTGCCTTTGGCCAAACACAAATTACGCATTAGCTTCGCAAATTCGAGACCTGCTAAAAATGCATTCTTCAGCACAGTGCATCAGTGGCGATTCGACTGCCGCTTTCCCAGTGTGTAAAACTTACAAAGTTCGACACTGAGCACGCAATTTCCTTTATTCCTCCGGATGGAGAGTATGAGCTGATGAGGTGGGTGTTCTTACTGACCACAGTACAGGGAAAAAGCCCTAAGTTTCTTATATTTATTCAAAAGTTGTTACTCATCAAATTCATCATGTGAAATTGATCAGAGAGTCGTACATTATTCTGTGCTCAAACAGTTATGGCACTGCTGGCAACATAGCTCGTCAAATCACCATCTAAACTAGTAGGCAGATTGCTTCCGAGGCAGAGGGTTTTCGAAGTCCAGCACAGTAACCAGCGCATCTTTCATCATGAAAGGCGCCACAAGTCGAATTATTTGCAGCAAGCAACTGGTTCGTGTTGCGTTACACTTCCTGATACGCCTCCTCTTTATCTTAATCGCTTTCCTCAATTACGAAGAACGTCGAAGAACGTGGGACCATTTTATTTGATTTGCGAAGAATTCGCTAAGCAGTATGTGGCTGAGGCGACTATAGGACCACTGCCCAAGCAGATGAGACAAACACGTGCGTATATCGGAATTCCTCCCTGAATGGCACTCTACCACATTCATTGGGAGGGAAACAAAGAGCAGTGAACACGATGACTGGAAGGCGGAGCGGTTTTGATGACGTCGTAATGACATCACTTGGTGATTGATGCTCAGCGGAGGGAGGGGAGGGGGGGGGAGGAGATTGGAAATTGGTGTGGAACTACCTCCTAAACACCTTACACAATAGATGCGTGATTGAAATCACCAAAATGGCGCTGCCACTCTAACCTATCGAAATCAACAAGCAGCGACGGTCTGCCAGACAGTGGGAAGGCTGTGAGCTTTAACCCATTCGCGACCGCGCAGGATTGCGCAATAGCAGCAGCGTCAGAAGATTTTTCTTCAATAAAATCCGAGTGAAGGGAGATTTCCTCTGCCCAGGGCTGGCGTAGATGAGCGAGGGTATGAAGATTCTTTCCATGGAAGAAAACTTTCCAAATTCCATTTCAAGCCCTGCAGCCACAGTAATACCATTGTCCCGAGTGAGAGCTTTGTCAGCCACCGTTCCCTCTCTCTCTTCAATACCCGCCCCACTTAACTGCTCTCGTTCTCTCTCTCCCCTTGCTACCTCGTCTCTCGGTCCTCGCTCCCTGTCCATCACTCCTGGTTTTGGTTTCTGACGGTTGGGGGAGTGGGTGTCTTAGTATTTCGACACGTGGCCGCTCAACTGATGCTAATGACCCAATCCAGTCCTTGCATTTTTTACACTACGCGCACTCATCCTCAAACCTTGAGTTTCAGTTATGCTCGGCTTCTTCATTTTGACTCGTGTTACATCTCTCTCCACAATTCCACACCATTTCGCCCATTCGCTCATGACTCGCTATTCCGGCGCGCTCTAGTTCTCTACCCTTGTATTTTGGTTCAATGGGTGAATGGCTCCCGTCTCACCAATGATATATACGGATTTTAATAGTTTTAGGTTGCAGTGTACCTGGTTAGCTCTATGAACAACTTGAATCGCCATAAATCGACTCGGTGTGCTGTTTTGCTCCACAAACCAGTCAAGAAGCGCGAGAGGGAATGTGCGTGGGGAAAAAGCTGAAAGCGTCATAGGCAACGCTCGAATTTTTCTTGTGAAGTTCACGGTGGCACGACGGAGTGAAACACCGCTGCAAGGAGAGAGAAACGCGAGAGATCACGTTGTACGCGAGAGGACGCAGACGCCAATATAAGGTGCGATTGATAGGAATGGCAGCGGTCAAAGTGGGGGGGGGGCAATAGCTCCCTTGTCGCGCACTTCAAGTCGCGGCAGTATCACCACTTCTGTGATTAGGGGTCTTGCTACTTCCTAAGGGAGAAGTTCTCCAAGGATTCAATCACGACTGGTGCCTTCGATTCTTGTTAGGAATAGTAGTGCCATGTGTGTTTGTTTGTATAGTTGTCTGTAGAAGCTGTTACTACCGCGAAAGCCTACCGCGACCATGAACGAGTCCGAATCAGCAATTTTTTGCATTATTTCAACACATAGAGCCGGGAGGCAGTCTGATTTTCTTGTTACCTTGAATGTTTTTAGGTATCGAACCACAAAGGATATCCAGCTTCCATTTCGTATTATTCCTCTGGTGCGAGAAGTGTACAGAAACAAAATGGAAGTTAAGGTTAGGTCTTCACTCTTTCTAGTATCTTTGCATATGGAGAAAACCTTTTTGTAGGACCAATTCTTCTATTTTTTGTGCAGATAATGTGATCTTTGGTGCGACCTTTAGCTTATGTGATCTTGAGCTCAAATAGGCTCACATTACATCATCTTGTTCGGTGTCATACTTTGCGAACCAAGCGAATCCAACAAATCGCAAATAGGAACAACGCGCCTGCGTTTTGAAAAACGCGCCAGTGATTCGAGTCTTTACGATGACTCTCCCCACTCTTACAGGCTCTTATGCCGTCGCGAGCCTGGAAAAGTAGCGAGGGCTTGTGCGAATGGGTGAGACCCTCACCACTTTTCCACAGTCGAATCGCTTGTGTATCATTCGAACTGGTGGTGCACCGCTCAAGCTGTTACGTATTGCTCGTACACTGGTACGTTGTCGAATCGCTGGCGCATCGCTCGTACTGCTCGATTCGCCATTCGCAAATCGTGACACCCGTTTTCCCTTGAAAGTATGTGCATTCTTAGCTGGCTGACACTGTTTACATTACGATGGCTTTGTGAGGATGATAACCTTCAATTTACCTCCACTAAAGGTGTGGTTTTGCAAGAGCCAAAGGCTAGAGGCTAAGAGGTATTCCACACTCTCCTGCATCGTCACATTGTGCCGCTTGTTTTTTCTTTTCAATTTGATCATCGCTGCGATCAAGCTGTTGATGGCGGTTTTGCACGTCGGAAGCGGCATAAGCAGTAGGAGTTCCTAGTGCATAACTGCTGCCGTATTCCAAAAATTAATCGACATGACCTTACCGGGTTGGAGCTGGACATTGGCCGTGAGAACTTCAGAATTGCTGAGGCTCAGCCGTTGCTGCTCGTGGGTGGGGTTGATATGCAGCATCCACGAAGATAAATCTAGCCCCTTCTTCCGTGTATGAGCTCCTACAAAAACCAAAAGAACTTGTGTCAGAAAATGCTCCGCCTCTTGAACACCCCCCCCCTTCGCCTCTGTTGTTAATGGTGCGTGGACTATAGCGGAATTGATGTCACTGCCCACTATTTCGGAGACAGAAAGAGCCTCGAGTGCAGACCATGCACCAAAAGTGACGACGGCCAAAAAAGGCACTTTTTTCTTGTGGTGTGTTGTCTGCACTCGACGCTCTTCTCGTCTTCCGAAATAGAGGGTACGTTTAAGTATTCCCCATACGAGTAACGACGAAAGTGAACGGAATGGTAGGCGAGATAGCTCCTCACCATCTCGAAACTACCTGAGTAGCTCTCAAAACATTATATGAGTTGCTCATGTGGCCAACCAGGAAGGTTTTTCAGATCAAGCACAGCTTTATCAGAACGGTCTTTTGCATTCTAGGGACATGTGCACGGAACACGGAACTGTGTTCCGTATTTCATGAGCAGCCCTCTGAACGACAAAAGGGGGAACAATGGTTCGTTAGTGGTTCGATCCCCGTGTGACAAATTGTATTTTTGTTGACGGCTTGCATATACGCAAAACTGGAGTGCGGTGACCTTGCCTGCCTTCCCGAACCCTGCTAATACGACAGTCCTGTCTACTCCGGTCCCGGACGTACATGGTAGACTAGATTTGGGTGTGCAATTACCGACATCTCCGGAGCCAGCAAGCAAGTAATGACGGCTTGATGATACTATCGAGCCTACAGTAAGCATCATGACAAGAGGATTTATGCCATAAAAATGAAGGTCAATCCGGTGTGTAGCTCTGGAGATTTTCCAACATCTTTCGGCGTTTAGCGAGCTGCTCAGCGAGAAAATGAACCATAGATTCAAGAAAGCGAAGCACGACGAAGGACCTTTGCGTAGGGCTCTTGAATTTTGAGTCACATTCCTTGAACCCTTCATCACTTTGATGAAAATATAAAGAATTGCACGTCTTCCAAAACTACAAAACACAAAGATTCTTTGACTTCGTAATTTTAGACGCACTATTCTCCCTGCAAGTGTAACGAATTGCTTCAGGTTGTCGTGAAGTCCAACTTCAAGCCGTCGTTGTTGGCTCAGAAGATTGAGGTGCGAATTCCCACACCACCCAATACATCTGGAGTTCAACTGATTTGCATGAAAGGCAAAGCAAAGTATAAAGCTGGGGAAAACGCCATTGTTTGGAAGTGAGAAAGCAGCTTATATTGCCTTCTCCAATTTTATTTTACTATACTACATTTTGACTACATGTCTTCTTAATCACTGGTAATTCAACAGGATCAAACGTATGGGAGGGATGAAGGAAAGTCAAATTTCGGCTGAGATCGATTTGTTGTCCACAGGCTCGGAAAAGAAGAAATGGAATCGTCCTCCCGTCAGCATGAATTTTGAGGTACTTTTTCCAACCGCAAAATTGATTTGAATCGTGGTGAAGGCTGATATTTGCAGGTACCGTTCGCTCCTTCTGGATTGAAAGTGCGCTATCTGAAGGTGTTCGAGCCAAAATTAAACTACTCAGATCATGATGTGATTAAATGGGTGCGGTATATTGGCCGTAGTGGTCTCTATGAAACACGATGCTAATATTAGTATGCATGATAGTATTTATTCGTTTTCTTTGTATTGAGCTTTTACCAGTGTTAATAGTCATACCGACGCTTCACTAAATAATGTCTGTGCTTAATTTATGAACACATCTCTGCACTGTCAAAATTTATTCTTTATATTGTTTAAATAATAAATCTCGAGTCAGTTGATTCTTCAAATTGATGTGAGGTTCATTCTGTTCAAATCGCAGGTTCTTTTCAGACTACCTTATCGAGTCGTGGTACCAAGGCTGATCAAACATACTATAACATGAAATATGGTTCGATAAAAGCATGCGAGCCTATATGAAACACTGGGCATTTACCGAGCAAAGCTAAGGTTGGTGCTAGAGTCCGTCATCCGTCGCGCGACAGATCACGATGTCACACGTGCCCCGATCAATACTGTGAGGTGCTCTCAATCCCGCCGCCATTTCTGCTTGATGGTGATGGTTGAATGACGACTGTTCATGATTCTACTTGTTTCATATTCAGTGTTTCAAATGTTCAAATGGGGCACTTGCGATTTTTGCGATTCGCGCGACGGATCGCGGACTCTGACACCAGCCTAAGGGTGTGGGTCGCTAGAACAGGACGCAAATTCTTCGCTTGTCGTAGCGAGAAGCTTTTTTGCCATGGGGTTCCCAGATCAACATATCTATGCATGGATCCTGAAGATCCTGGGGATCCTGAAGCGAAAAAGTCGCTTTCTGCTGTTCTAGCGAACCACACGCAGCAGTAATATTGGGTTGTTCGGGAAGTTTCCGCCGCTTTTTTAGTAACTTACTTTAAATATTTTTGAATCTCTTCTAAGAAACTGCTACCACTTTGTGTATCAATAGAAAACGCGTTTCTCGCTCTGTCTAAATTTACTGTTATCTTAACCCTGAAATATTTTTTCGTTTCTTTCTTGAAATCTTGAATACAACATAGTCAACGAGCTGTAATGTATGAGTTTCTTCTTTCCTCTCGGAATATCAATTAAGTACCCTCGCCTTCAAATAACCAGAAATTGTGCAATTGCAGAAATTGACGTGGCATTAACGTGGCGATCACCTTTTCATCGAGAATTTAGCCACGTGTGCCACGTGGCTAAATTCTCGATGAAAAGGTGACATCACGTGTGCTCAAAGATGTTCTTGAATCGATGCCACGTTAATGCCACGTCAATTTCTGCAATTGCACAATTTCTGGTTATTTGAAGGCGAGGGTACTTAATTGATATTCCGAGTGGAAAGAAGAAACTCATACATTACAGCTCGT